GGGAATATGTCACTGTAGGGTGAGGAGCAATTCACGCTTTCTTGCAAGGTGTTCCCCATAACCAGTATTACACATTTAGCAGATGGCTCGGGGCCACCAGCTGCCCTGGTTGATCTAGGGTCAGTGTGTGGTGCTGTCCACTGTCCAGCATCATTAAACCATGATGCTGACCTACTAGAAGTGTACTAAAACCAACAAAACCATCCATGTCTCTCACAGAGCTAGGAAATTCCAGAATTCCTAAATATTGATGTATATTGTGTGTATATATGTACGTGTGTGTAGGTGACAAAGAAGAGCCAATTAGTGGATTTTTTTAAATTAATTAATTAATTAATTTATGGCTATGTTGGGTCTTCGTTTCTGTGCGAGGGCTTTCTCTAGTTGTGACAAGTGGGGGCCACTCTTCATCGCGGTGTGCGGGCCTCTCACTATCGCGGCCTCTCTTGTTGTTCTCTTGATCATTTTACATTCAGAGATAATTCTGCTTTCTTAGATGAGCGTATTGAAGAAGAAAGCATGCGTTTCCTGGGGCACCTCTGGACTGAACTCTGGGCTCTGATTGTCTAGTTGTCCATGCTGTTGGGGGAATATGTCACTGTAGGGTGAGGAGCAATTCACGCTTTCTTGCAAGGTGTTCCCCATAACCAGTATTACACATTTAGCAGATGGCTCGGGGCCACCAGCTGCCCTGGTTGATCTAGGGTCAGTGTGTGGTGCTGTCCACTGTCCAGCATCATTAAACCATGATGCTGACCTACTAGAAGTGTACTAAAACCAACAAAACCATCCATGTCTCTCACAGAGCTAGGAAATTCCAGAATTCCTAAATATTGATGTATATTGTGTGTATATATGTACGTGTGTGTAGGTGACAAAGAAGAGCCAATTAGTGGATTTTTTTAAATTAATTAATTAATTAATTTATGGCTATGTTGGGTCTTCGTTTCTGTGCGAGGGCTTTCTCTAGTTGTGACAAGTGGGGGCCACTCTTCATCGCGGTGTGCGGGCCTCTCACTATCGCGGCCTCTCTTGTTGCGGAGCACAGGCTCCAGACGCGCAGGCTCAGTAGTTGTGGCTCACGAGCCCAGTTGCTCCGCGGCATGTGGGATATTCCCAGACCAGGACTCGAACCCGTGTCCCCTGTATTGGCAGGCAGATTCTCAACCACTGCGCCACCAGGGAAGCCCCAGTTAGTGGATTTTTGAAGTCATTTATGTAAAATATTCTACTCTGTTCTCTCAACCCAAAGAATCAATTCCCTTATGAAAGGTTTATTGGTAGATCCCTCCCCTCATCTCAATCGTCTCCACCTAAAATTTGTTGATATTTTTAGGGATTCAGTTATTAAATAAAACTTTGGTAATCAGTCACGTTCCCTAGGGTTCAGGTTGATTTTTTTAAATATATGTTTTATTTATTTATCTATTTATTTATTTATTTAGGCTGTGTCGGGTCTTAGTTGAGGCATGCGGGCTGTTCGTTGTGGCGCGTGGATTTTCTCTTCTGTAGTTGTGGCATGTGGGCTCCAGGGCATGTGGGTTCTGTAGTTTGCGGCATGCGGGTTCCAGTTGAGGCACGGGAGCTCAGTAGTTGTGGCATGCGGGCTTAGTTACCCTGCGGCATGTGGGATCTTAGTTCCCCCACCAGGGATCAAACCTGCGTCCCCTGCATTGGAAGGCAGGTTCTTTACCACTGGACCACCAGGGAAGTCCCCCCTCAGGTTGACTTTTAATTTCTTTAATGTATGACAGACAATCCAGAGATAGTTTGGGTGAGAAATCAATTGATGGATTTTATTCAAAAGCTATTATCTTATAATTTTCACTGTGGATAGCAGACATGATAGATAACGTATTGTTAAAACTGTGTTTATCATTTGCTAGGGCTGCCATATCAAAGTACCACAGACTGGGTGGCTCGAACAGCAGAATTTTGTTATCTCACATTTCTGGAGGTCGGAAGTCAAAGATCAAGGTGTCAGCGAGAGCGCCCACCCGCAGATCCTCTCCCCGTTGTTTATCGGAGGAGGCGGGGCGGGGGCAGGCCCAGCCTCTGTGCTCCGGAGGTTTATTTATAAGTCAGTTAATGCACAGAGAGAACCATAATAGCAACGACGGAAAACTGTAAAATACTTAAAGAGGCCTTACAGGGTGGCAGTCCCCTGAGAGTGTCCCTATTCCATCATCTGGCCCCTAAGGCGTACAGAAGTTCAATTTGATCTTTGCAACCAGAGACTGGCTTGTGAGAACCAAACCCGTAAAGAGGTTCCCAGTAGCTGATCAGAATCCACTTCTTCCTCAGTATTAGGATTAACAGGATGGCAGGTTAGCTGGTGAACCTGACGCAATGGAGTGTTGAGGGGCCTTTCATCCACTGAGCACGTGGACGGTCTGTCCCATGGAGCCTGTCTCTCAGGCCCTCTGGGTGGACCCGGCCACCCCTTACTTGGTTAGCTGCCTCCTCAGCTGTTCAGACCATTGCTTTGGCCATAGCAGCTCTGACAGTTAGTTGGGCCTGAAGCCCGTTTCAGATCCCCGTCCTTCCTCCTGGTCCTAGGACACAGCCCTGAGGCTTCTGGAGGTGCCCCTGCAGCTGGAGCAGCCCCTTCATAGGCCTCCAAACACAGGCCCCCCAGCCTTCCTTATTACACTGCCCGTGTAGCCCCACGGGGGACCGATTGGTGTCACCCAGAAAAGACCAACGTAAGGAACAGATTTTAAAAGAACCCCTGTCTGAGACAGGCACTTATTGAAAACCGGATTCTGACTGAGTTTACAGGTGAGCTGCAGTACTAGTTAGCCCTTTACCTGCCTAAAAATGCTTATCTAAGAAGAGCAGGGATCAAAAGGACTTGATGTGAATGAGTTTTGCGGGTCTTTTAGCGAGTTATTAATTTCTCTGAGTCCCAGCGTCCTCCTCCGTAAAATGAGTGGAATTATGCTAGTTTGCAGTGTGGTCATAAGTATTCAAGACAACAGAAATAAAGTGCCCTTTATCATCCAGTTGACTGTTAATAGATGAGAGCGGCCCTTGCTGCTCTAGAGTTTTTTAAATTTCATTTTCTAGATGGCACTCAGAATAGAACTGTCAGAAGCTCTCTTGATTCCTGTCTTCCAGTAGCTTTGACAAGTTTGGCCATGTCCTCTTAGCTTTTCCATTCCGTTTCTGTCACAGAAAGCAAGCCATCCAGCAAAACTTCTATAGAAAGTAACAGCTGACCCTTGAACGATGCGGGGGTTAGGGGCACCGACCCTCTGCACGCAGTCAGCCCTCTGTATCCACGGGTCCTCTGCACCCGGATTCCGCATCCTCGGATTCAACTACCCATGGATGGTATAGTACTATAATGTTTACTATCGAAAACAATCCGCATCTAAGTGGACCCGTTGTTCAAGGGTCATCTGTATTTGTTTCAAGGTATAAGTTTTCCACGTTAACTTTCAGTGGTTGAACTAAATTAATACTTTAAATTGTTTTTTCTTTTGGCCATGCCACGTGGCTTGTGGGGTCTTGGTTTCCCGACCAGGGATCGAACCTGGGCCCCCAGCAGTGGAAGTGCAGAGTCCTAACCACTGGACCGCCAGGGAAGTCCCTAATACTTTCAATTCTAAGAGGTTGTTTTCTGCAATTAAGGGACTATTGAAAATAAAAGATAATTCTGAGGTTTGAAATTCAGGACACACGTTCCACAGAAACAATATTATTCAGGTGGTCAGTGTTCCAGGCTGCTCACTTGGTTTAAGGCTCTACCGCCAGGCTTCTGAAATGCATATGAATCACCCAGGGATCTTGTTAAAATGCTGAAACAAATGCAGTGCAGGCAGAGGGACTGAGATTTGATGTTTCTAACAGCTCTGGGTGATGCCCCGCTGCCAATCTGGGAGCGCTGCTGATCCAGGAGTGGCAAGATCTGGGTGGGAGAAGCTGGGGTACTGAGGGGTGAGTACGTGGGTGAGGGCTGCGGCCTGGGGCTTCTGCTTAGACCCAGGGATGGGACTCCGAGGACTGGGGGAAAGGGAGACAGGGTTCATTGCTGGCACAACTCTGGGGGCACGTCCTCGCCATTGTTTCTTCAGCCCCTGACGTTTGCCAGGCTGCCCCCTTCGCCGCTGCTACCCACCAGGGCTTCCCTGCGCTGTCTCACCGCCACGGAGTCTGGCCTTCCCTTTGTCCCCAGAGCAATCAGACTCTGCAGAAAGCCTTTCTAAGGAAGCCTATTGGTGGTAAACAGCCCAGAGTCAGAGGTTTGATTCCTCCTCTCTTTTTTCCCCTCTTTTTTTCCACTTGGATTCTGTAAGGAAATGCCAAGTAGCATAGAGGTAGGAATCCAGCCTCCTTGCCCATCTTATCTTCCCGTATTCCCATCTCCCTTCCCCGGAGGACTGTAAGAACTTTGAGGGCAAGTATAGAAATATAGATTCATCTTTGCATTCCTGGGTGCTACCCAGACCTAGACAAATGTCGGGAATCTCAGAGAAGAAAAGCAGCGGAGTGGAGAAGGAATGTCAGGAATGTTGGGGAAGAAAAGCGCGGGCACGGCTGGCGTGGGCGGGAGAACGGGAGAGGGCTGCGCCATGGAGATGAGTGAAGAGGAGCCACTTGAACATTGGACTTGGCCAGGATACATTTCTAGCCGTTTCCTAATAACCTCCCAGCTTACTCGGGCGGCAGGCCAGGGTCCTTCCCCCAACCTGCTTTGGTGGTGGTGGGATTGAGCAGCATGAGGCACTGGATTTTGCTTCCAGTATCTCCAGGCACTTTGGCTGAGAAGCCTTCCCTGCTGACCTCCTTCCAGAATAGTAACATCCTAGCCATGCCGTAAAGCAATTCCACCTCTCATAAAAGTTGGGCTTCGTGAATAGCTGCCACTTTGACGGGAAAGCGGGAAGGAAGATTAGAATGGAGTATTACTAAGAAGTCTAATACATGATGGTGCTTTGTTTCTTTTTGTTTTTACAGATTTGTCAGCCAGACTGCTGAAAGCGTAACTGTCCAGGATGCCCGTACCGCCCCCTCCAGCACCCCCGCCACCGCCCACGTTTTCTCTGGTGAGTGATTCTCCCTATCCATGGCCCGTGCACGAAGCAAGCTAAACAAACTTGAACCTGGCACACGTGTATTTGTTTTCAGTGTATTCACATTCTGGCTTAAATATGAATGATACGGTAAGCTTTCCAGGTGCTGGAGTAAATAAGCCAGAGCCTGAGATGCAGCAGATAACAATACGAAAATGTTTTGTAGTCTAAGGCCTCATGTGATGCGTAGGACACGCGTGGAATGTGGATTAGTTAGGTTTCCTCTGCCTCGTCCATCAAGGAGACGTGTCCTGTTCATTTGAACACGCTGGCCCAAGACGGTTGGCAGGAGCGGTTCTGCCCAGCCTGCACTGTTTTCAGCTTCTAGCCTTTAACATCTGGGCAGGATAGTCCAGAGACCCAGTCTGCCTGTCTGAAAATGCATCCATTAATGTGTCCTCCAGACTCACTTTCTTTTTCTCTGCCTTTCGCCATCTTTCTTCCCACTCTGTGTTTGACAAATAACCCCCATCTTCCACTCCCCCCCCCCCCCCCCCACACTTACTTCGCCCTTTAAATCCATCCTCGCAGTTCCATGTGTACTTTCCTAAGGAATTTCTTCTCTGGGCTCATCCTGGCCCCCTGATGGACCCATCCTCAGAAGTTAGTGCACCCTCTTCCAGGAAGCCGGCAGCCCTCCCCGCAGTGATACGGAAGGTCTCCCAGACCCACCCCCCCAGTATGTGAAGCCTTCACTGCTAAGGAGCCTCCCAGTGATGGGCCCTTCACTTTTCACTTGAGGAAACTGGAGCTCAGAGAGGAAAAGTCTCTTGCCTAGGCTTCCATGGTACACATTTTTTATAACCCATCTAAGGCTGGAACCTAGTTGGAAGAACAGACCATTGATTAGCTCGTTGCTATTCCAAGTGTGATCCTCCAACTCCTGGTTAGAGTCCCCCAAAAATAAGTACAGAAATTTAGAGTAAGTGCTTAGAAACACTTATAGCAATCTGATAGTGGTGTTATGTCTATTGTTTCTAAGATTGTATTTTGTGTGTCTTTTAAACTGATTCATTTTTCTAATAAGTCATTGTTATTTTACAAAATATTGGTCCATGACGGGTTGGAAATTTTTTTCTTAAAAATTCGTCCTTCCCGGGCTTCCCTGGTGGCGCAGTGGTTCAGAGTCCACCTGCCAATGCAGGGGACACGGGTTCATGCCCCGGTCCGGGAAGATCCCATATGCCTCAGAGCGGCTGGGCCCGTGAGCCATGGCTGCTGAGCCTGCACGTCCGGAGCCTGTGCTCCACAACGGGAGAGGCCACAACAGTGAGAGGCCCGCGTACTGCAAAAAAAAAAATTTGTCCTTCCCTTAGATAAGTTTGAAAAGCTGTGATCTGGCTAACATAGAAGGACTAGTTTATATTTCCCCAAAAGTATAGGTTTTGCACCACCGCTGAGTCATATGTGCCTTGATTTTTTTTTTTAATTTTAATGCTCGTGTTTAATATGTATTCTAAAAGTTATAACTAGCACACCCAGGGTTTAATAGTGAGTTAATTTAAAAGAAATGTTCACTGAGAAATAGTATAGTAAATAATATAGTGAACTGACTTAATGAAAAATATTAAATAATAACACAGGTAGCATAAGATGACGACAAAAGTCACGAAAGTTGTACCAGAATGGTTGAAGTTTGGGACACCCCGGTTTATCCTATCCACTCATTTCTATCCATTATTACCTGACTAAAAGCAAGATCCTAGAGAGACAGGATATAGAGACGAGAAAAGGGAAAGGTTGGTGGCCATCGTAGGACACCATCCAGTGGAACAGCACAGTCAAGAGATAAGTCAGCACCCAAGGAGGTCAGGTGTCAAAATAAATTTAGAGGCAGAACAGGAGGCCAGGGAGGGTTGCTCATCCAAAACCATGAAGAGAACCAACATGGACATGGCACTTAACCTCTAGACGCCTCAGGTTTTTTCATCCTTAAAACGAAGACAATAGGTAATTCAAAAAGCTCTTTCTAAGATGTCCAAGGCATGTTGTTAAGTTATAAAAACAAGTTTCAGAGCAATAGAGGATGATCCCATTAGCGAAAGCGAACTGTATATGCAAAGAGCCTTTCCGGAACTGGCTGCCAAGAAGCTCTTAACAGGCTTGTTTCAGAGGAGGGTTGGAGGCCAGTGGGGAAAGGGCATTTTATTTATTAATTTTTTTTCAACTGAGATATAATTGACATATAACATTGTATAATCACAATGATTTGATACATTTATGTATTATAATTACCACCATAGTTTTAGCTAACGCCTCTATCACATCACATAATTATCATTCCGTTTTTGTGGTGAGAACATTTAAGTTCTGGTCTCTTAACAGCTTTGAAGTATATAATACAGCATTGTTAACTATAATCACTGTGCTGTACATTAGATCTCCAGAACTTATTCATGTTTTAGTTGCAAGTTTGTACTCTTTTAACACCTCCCCATTTCCGGGAAGGGGCATTCTAGACCCCGCGTTTATCCTTCTGTCAGGTTATAGGGAAGGCCCCGGAGTCAGGCTGCCAGGCTTCGAATCCAAGCTCCTCCTCTTACCAGCTGGGTAACCGGGTTGATGATTTAACTTCCCTGTGCCTCAGTTTCCTTGACTCTAAAATGGAAGCCATGACTCACAGGGTTGATGAATTAGTATACATAAAATGCTAAAAACGGTGCCTGACCCGTAGTAAAATCTATATAAATGTTAGCCGTTATTATCGTGAGCAAGTACTACTTTATCATTTAATTAAGACCCTTTCAGCTTCATACACAGAGATTCTGTTTAGCCTGCTTCAGGGATTTTCTTAGCTCTCCCTCTGCCTCTAACTATAATAAATAGCTGGGTCAGGTATCAAGCTAAACTTGCCCAGGTTTACTCCTTGTGGCCCTTGCTGGCATCTGTGAAATCAGAGCCTTTCAGAAGGGCTGGGGCGAGCCTCAAAGGACTCTCAGGGCTGCCAGAAGTACCACTGGGTTTGGGGAAGACGACTCTCCCCGGGACCAGGCCAGACCAAGCCAGTTTCCAAGTGTGACAGACACAGGTACACGCCTACTTCCGACTCCATCTGCTGGCGTCTTAATGTTCCCACTCCGTAAAAGAACCCTGAAAAAACAAAATCCCAATTTCACAGTAAGAATCTTTCCCAGGAATTCTGAAATTATAGAAAATACCCAAAGGTTTTATTTATTTTTTATTTTTTGGCTGCACATCGCAGCTTGTGGGATCTTAGTTCCCCGACCAGGGATCAACCCCACACCCCTGCAGTGGAAGCACGGAGTCTTGACCACTGGACCGCCAGGGAAGTCCCCCCAAAGGTTTTAAAGCAGCACCATTGTCAGCCGTGCAGTCTCTGTGGGCTAAGCTTTCAAAGGGATTAGGGAACTACGTTCAATATCCTGTAATAAACCATAATGGAAAAGAATTTTAAAATAAAAAAAATTTTTTAAGGGATTAAACATCAGGAACACCTTAGCCCAGAGGAACATGAAGGGAGTTGGGGGGTAATGGAAATGTTGTATATCTATTTTTTTTTTTTTTTTTTTTTTTGGCGGTATGTGGGCCTCTCACTGTTGTGGCCTCTCCCATTGCGGAGCACAGGCTCCGGACGCGCAGGCTCAGTGGCCATGGCTCACGGGCCCAGCTGCTCCGCGGCATGTGGGATCTTCCCGGACCGGGGCACGAACCCGTGTCCTCTGCATCGGCAGGCGGACTCTCAACCACTGCGCCACCAGGGAAGCCCGGAAATGTTGTATATCTTAATTGTGGCGGTGGCTACACGATTGTATATGTTTGTCAGAATTCACAGGACTGTACACTAAAAGGGTGATTTTACTATTTGTAAATTATACCTCCAATCTGCCTTAAATTAAAAAGAAAAAAATCTCTTGTCAGTGTAACCAGAGGGAATTATTTTCTAAAATTTTGGTGGATTAAAAAAAATACAGCTGACCCTTTTTGATAAAGACAGTTTTCCTCTTGCACCAGGTTAGTTCCAAAAGACAAGAAAGAGATGTTCTTCAGAGAACATTCTAGAGGATGAAGCCTCATAGTATCCTGCAAATTCCTCTCAGACTTAAAATTCCCTGCTCGTTTCTAGCCATCCACCCCTTGCTCTGTTGGTTACGGCCAGATTGTGGTCTGAATTTTCAGAGACTTTTATCAGGGAGTGACTCTTCCTGCATTAAAAATGGACGTAATGTATTGCTGCATCTGCTCCCAAATGTCTGGGTCTTGAAAAGAGTGACATCGGGTCTAAAACTTGTAGAGAATTTACAGCCTATTGCCAAGAATCTTAATAACAGGCTCCCAATGCGCTAGCTGTCCCCACTGAGTGTTGTAGTACATGATTTTAATTCAAAAGATGAATACGAGTTTGCGTGTTTTCCTTTCAGGCCAATACAGAAAAGCCTACCTTGAGTAAGTCAGAGCAGGCTGGGAGAAATGCTCTTCTCTCTGACATCAACAAAGGGAAGAAACTAAAGAAGACAGTCACCAATGACAGAAGTGCACCGATATTGGACAGTAAGTGAAAAAAGTTATTTTCCATGGAGATAAATGGTTTATGACCTAACAATCAACTCTACTCTTCCCACCAAAAAAAAATTTTTTTTTTTTTTTGGTTAACAACAGCTGCAGAGCTAGCAGAATAAGGGACTGTATCACTCATTGTAGGCCATGGCTCTGGCTTGGGTTCCCTCTAATGCTACAGGAAGCCAGTATAATAATTCTTTGTCCAAGACACACACAGCAGCAATTCTCTGAATTATTCACAACTCTTTACAGCACTTTCTGGAAATTAACCCTTTGCTCATCTTACCACAGAGCAAAAGGCAGCATGAAATATGGAAAGAGGCCTAGTCTTGGAATCAAAGGATGTAGGTTCGAGCCCTGACCATCTCCAACCCTTTGTTCGAGCCCTGACCATCTCCAACCCTTTGTCTCCATTTGTAAAATGGAGATAATACGTGTTCCACTGCCCTCACAAGTTTGTTGTGAGCATCAAATGAGACAATGCTTCTGAAAGTGTTTTGTTGCCTGGAATGTATAATTCAAGTGTAGTTATGAATATTAGGGGGTTAGAGAGAGAGGAAATGAGATCACAGCTTTGCTTATTGACCCATCATAAATCTGAGATATTTTCTGGAACAAGGCAGGGTATGTGTAAACAAACAAGTACCCACCATACAGGGCTACTTATTAACATTTACAATAGAATGAAACATTACAGATGGCTAGAATCTACCGGAAGTTAATTATCGGGCCTCAAGACTATCATTTCACACTCCTCACTCATTTCCACTGCCAGCCAGATGTGCCCAGAATTCATCCTCGACCACAGATGCCACTTGGACTCAACAGGAATTAGACGGTCCTAAGCTCACCAGAGGGAGCTTTGTAGACAAGTGAATAACGATGTAGGACTTTAGCCAAGTGGAGGAATTTCTAGGAAAAGTGCCCAACGAGTAGAAGAGAAAGATCAGCGTTAGGTGAGAACATTGTTGTGGGAGGAAGGTGGAAAAGAGGAAGACCAAGACAAAGGCCTTTAAGTTTTGCTCTGTTACCGGGCAAGGTGGTGCAGATGGAATGCACCACACCTCAGTGGAACTAGAGGGCCTTTGACTTTTGACGAAGTCTTACCTCTGGGTCAGAATGCCCACAAAATGGTGTGGTTATTGTATAATCAATTGCTTAGTTTTCCTGATCTGTGTCACAAGGTTCTCCCTGGGGTTGCCCAGCCCAGTCGCTTCTTTCTGGGGAGCTTTGGTCCAACAGCCGTTGAATCGTGGTGCCTGGGATGGGGCCAGAGGAACTCCACAAACTGCCAACCTCTAGACCAGAGCCCAGTGGTTCTCTCCACTATGAGAGGGAGCCTAGGCTCTGGAGAATTCCCTAGATGTTGAAGGAGAATGGACAGTCTGGGGCCTAGTCCTGAATCCACTAGTGGAAGTTCATTATATTCTTCAAGATACACTTCTCTCGTTAAATGGGAAAGAGG